GGGAGGGGGAGAGGGGGTGGGGGTGGAGGTGGTGTTGGGGAAAAGTTGAGACACCTTTTCCTGCGTTTCTCGCTGCAATAATAGCTTTTCTTGTAGTTGGTGGTAGTGGTCATTAATTGCGAGATGTTCTCAATTTGAGTGCTCCACAGAATGTAATATAAAGTGGACATTAAATGGACGCTGATTATACAATTTGTGAGGCATCGTGGTGAAAGTAGGAGCTCGTCAAAATAATTAAGTTAAAAAAACCGGCATATTTCTTGCCGTCGGGGCAATATTTTTCTTCTTTTTCTTTTCTTTTTTTTTTTTTGGCTCAACACCTGTTATATCCATCTGAAAACACATTTCTGTGTAGATTTTACTGAAAAACTTTGGTTAAAGGCACAAAAAATGTAAATTTTCCGTTTTCAAGCTATGGAAGTTACAAACTTTGGTGTCCATTTTCTCTTTAATTTTACCAGGCAACCCTCCCCTCACAAATATTTCGACCTCTATTCAACATAGATAGGGGTTTTTTTCCCACCAAAAGCGAGGCAACTGAACAGGCTTTAGTATGATACCAATAATCCCATATGCCCGAAAATTTACGAGCACCTGATTCCACCACGTTGAGCCACATTTTCATAATACGGATTTGAATAAAACTTCCATTTTATAATGTGAATAGAAGAGTGGAAATGGCCACTGATTACACATTGCACGAAACGGGTTTGAACAAGTCTGGTATGTTTTGTTATAATACAAATAATATAATAATAGCTCGTCCGGTCCGTGTCTGACAATGACCAACACAGACACAGATGAGAATATTTTTGCTAGCGAAATAGAGAGGGAGAGAGAGAGAGAGAGAGAGAGAGAGAGAGAGAGAGAGAGAGAGAGAGAGAGAGAGAGAGAGAGAGAGAGAGAGAGGAGAGAGAGGGGGGGGGGAGAGAGAGTTTTACGGGCGGGTGTTTCAGCACGTGAGACATGTATTTACTAATGTCCTGTCTTGTTGTGCGTATGCGTGAGTGCACCTTAGTTTTGCAACATCTACTGCCATTGTAAACGCCCAAGACAAATTTCTCCCTGCGAGATGAATAAAGATTGTCATTATCATTGTCAAGGTTAAGATGACTTGTGACTTCTGCTGTCGCCACTGAGACAAATTCTGGCAGAGAAACGTTTGCCACATTTTGAACATTTAAAAGCTCCACTTCCACTTGTGGATGTGCATAGCCTTCAGATTTCTCTCTTGGTTTCAGTATTTCTTATTGATGAAGCCTCATATGACTAGCAGCCCACTGTGACTGCTGCTCTCCAGCTGTGTCTGTCATGAGCTAGGCTCTCTCCATGTTGAAGTGTTTATGTTAAAGTCCTTCAGAGACATTTTCGGGGTGCCCTCGTTGCGTTTTTTTGGAACGTAAACCCTTCTCTTTTCCGTGGACAGTTCGTAAAAGAATCCTGCCTTTAGGACTCTAAAATCAGGCTTTCTTACGACATGGCCAGCCCAGCGACGTTTAGTCCATTTGAGCTGAGAAAACAGACTCTCGGCAATTGCCCTTTTGAGGACTTCGGTGTCAAATATTTTATCCCGCTATTTGATGCCAAGAATTCTCCCGAGAAAGTTTTCATGGAAATGATTAAGCTTCTTGTAAAGTGGAACTGGCCAGCTGATTGCACATTTGCATTATGCGGATTGAATAAAACTTGCTTATTTTGTTAATTGTAGGTAGTGACGTGGAAATAGCCACTGATAAGTCCACTCAACTGCAAAAAATATTCCATGACGCGTTTATGGAGTTCTTGGTATCATTTATAGGTTCTTCATTTATTGAGTTGCTTTCGAATTAACCCCCCCCCCCCCCCCCCATCTATCTTGTGTTTGCGATTGAAGGAGGTGGGAGTCACTGACACCTGGTGTCACTGGTAAAATTAGCGAGAAAACAGCCGCCAACGTTCAGCTTGGGGACTTCCAAAGTTTGAGAGTCCTTGGGAACTGCAAAGTTACATTTTTGTGCCTTTAAATCAACGGGTTTTTTCCCCAGTAAATTCCAAACAGAAATGCGTTTCTAAAAGGACATAAATGGTACATGTATTGGGTCAAAACTTTAAAAAAATCGATAAAAATTATCCACCGATTGGAAAAATGTGGGTTTCTTGCGTTTATTTAGTTTGACGAGTGCCTGATTCCACCTCGCTGGGACACATGGGTTTTTATTAAAACTTGAATATTGTGTAGTAAACGGATATGAACACTCATTACACAATTAATTCTATAACATTGGGTTTAAATAAAACCAGCAAATTTTGGCGTAGTAACATTAATTTTAGTCTTCTTCTCAAAAATCAAAAGAGTTTTCAATGAAAATCGTCGCACGATAAGAGAATATGCCGAACCTAATTTTTAAAAAAGGAAAAACCCCTCGTTAACAGAATACAGCCCATCTCAAATTTTCTGCGATAAGATCATTATTTCCTGTTTAACATCGCTTTAGGGACCCAAAAAGACGGAGGTTTGATGAAGTAAGGTCGGGATAATTAAGAGGATGCGGCAATACCTCCTTAGTTCAAATGGCAGTAACATTAATTGTGATTGTAAGTAAATAATGATACTCCAGGGAGAAGAGGACATTGGTTACAATTTTCCATTTTCGTCTGTGTTATCCTTTGTCATTTGCTTGGGTTGTTTTATTTTCTTTTTCAACACTATTTTCCTGTCACTTGTCGGTGACACATCTAATGTATGTATGCTCTTATAGTTTGTCCATCACAAGAACACAGTAGTTTTTTTAATGAATGGCATTTGATTCCATTTACTTTGAGACTTCAAGTTTTAAATACATGGCAATCCTGCTTTGTCTTTTCAAGCAATAACTTTTAATATTTTATTCTCAACTTCACAGGTGGAAGTGAAAAGGCACTTCTCTCCAGCATCGGAGGCTTTTTTTTCTGCGCGCCCATTTGAGTTTTAAAATAAACAGATTTGCCTTAGAGTGGTGGAACACAATATTTCATCTGGTTTTACTTTTACTGTCTTTGGTTCAACTAAGCAAAACTCTATTTTGGACGTATGATAATTGGAAATTACCAAATAGAAAGAACGACGACACGGATCATTGCGAACTTTGGTGTACTGTTAGCAATCGCCTTTTCGTTTGTTTCAGTAGAGGTTCTTAAGGCGCTCGCAACTGCATAAAGTCATATGAGCGCAAATACCGCCTTTTCTTTTTAACTCAATAAATTACATTCCTTCAACAAAGACAAAGAGAAAATATCGCCTCAGACGAAACTAAGGTAAAATCCGGTGCTCCATTTTAACTACCGACTTCCCGAGAGACGGACAACAAACGCTTGGTCGGAGCCATAATGAATCTCTAAAACTTTCGGACGTATAATCTTTACAAATAAGCGCAGTTGGCTTCAGACTTTAAATTTGCTAGTATGGTACTCCACGCGGCCCGTCTTTCCGCATTAACTGTCTTGTGGTATACATCAATGATATTCATGCTTTTTAAACTCTTTAACTCCTTTACAATTTCACATTTACAAACAAAATGCATGATATATATTGTCATTATGCAGGTGGTTGGCGGGCGCTCTCGTGTGGTTTGCTCCTTCTTTCCTATCAAACATCCATCGTCCTGACATCTCCTCCTTCTTCTAGTATTTCTTACTCATTTGTAACAAACTAGTCTTCAGCACTTTTTATTTTTCTGTGTTGCAAGTATGCAAGTGCCGTAAAACACTTACTAAAACTTTTTAAAAAACCACAAATGTATGAGGGTTTCTTTCCTTCATCATGTGTAAAATCATATGACCCAATACACGTTACCTTTAAAGGATTACGTCACATTTTTAAAGTTTTGAGAAAACTCACATAAGAAGAAAGCGCCCAAATAAGAACACTGACTCCGGCACTCGATAGATCAACTTTTCAGTCAAAATCTAGGGAGAAAATCTTTAATAATAAAACAGAACGAAACTGTTAGAAGATACCTTTTGAGATCCAGAAGATGGAAACCACAATTAGTGCCTGAATTGGGCAATTATGAAAATACGCTGACGACATAACTAAGTACAAAAGCGCCAGCTGATCGAAATGAACAGGGTCCCAAAAAGAATAGATTATTTTATATATTTAAGGAACAAATAAAGAATTTGACCCTGTGAATTAAAATGTCCTCTTTCAAAAAAGTGCACACGCGCAAGCAGTCTCAAACATAGACTTGTATCATAAACATCCAAGATTGTGCGCTCTGACGTTATTCCGGTTCACATTGGAGGGCACCATTTGACTATAAAATTATTATTATTATTATTTGGAGCAAGAAGAAGGACAAGGGGGGAAAGGTTGCGTGTGCACTCGACTGCAGAACCACTGGTGTTTTGCCCTTCATTTGCAAGTCCATCGAGGGTACCAGAGAGAGAGAAAAGAAAAAGAGAGAGAGAGAGAGAGAGAGAGAGAGAGAGAGAGAGAGAGAGAGAGAGAGAAAGAGAGAGAGAGAGAGAAGAGAGAGAGAGAGAGAGAGAGAGAGAGAGAGAAAGAGAGAGAGAGAGACAGAGAGAGAAAGACAGAGAGAGAAAGAGAGAGAGAGATGGAGGGAGAGAGAGGGAGAGAGAGGGAGAGAGAGAGGGAGAGAGAGAGAGAGAGAGAGAGAGAGAGAGAGAGAGAGAGAGAGAGAGAGAGAGAGAGAGAGTAAAGAAGCGCGGCTACGACAGGTGCCCGGTCTAGGATGTTAAGTAATTCAAGCTCAGTGAGTGAAGGTGAGAAAATGTCCAAACCTGAGCCCCCACAAGGTCTCTTGACGACTAAGGTGGTCCCGAGTTCCTCAAAAGTACTGCCGAGTGCGGAAAAGAAAGAACACTGACCATTGCCCGAAATGGTCACAGCCACACATTTGGACACAAGTGAGCAGACGTCTACACAACTGTCTGAGCTAGTCCATGAGACAGCCAAACCAGCCACTTGTGGCTTAACTGCAAGAAGTACTTGCTGTGCGCACCCGCCTGAGGAAAAGACATAGTATTTTTTATTCACTGGCCTGTTTGTTTAATTGTTTGTTTGTTTGTGTGTTTGTTTGTTTGTTTGTTTGTTTGTTTGTTTATTTATTTGTTTGTTTGATTGTTTGTTTGTTTGTTTATTTGTTTGTTTATTTATTTATTTATTTATTTATTTGTTTGTTTGTTTATTTATTTGTTTGTTTATTTGTTTGTATGTTTGTTTGTTTCTTTATTTGTTTGTATGTTTGTTTGTTTCTTTATTTGTTTGTATATTTGTTTGTTTGTTTGTATGTTTGTTAATTAGTTTGTTTGTTTGTTTGATGGGATCAGCACAGTAACGGGTAGTTAGTGTTGAGAAAAAGAAAGACAGACTGACTGAAACAGTTGAGGGAAATTTAAGAAGTAATACTTGCCAGTGGTGTCCCACCCCCTTCCTCCAAGTAACAAAATCCACCCGCACTGGTTTATTTTACCATAATAGGCCTACTTGATAAGTTAATACACATGTGGAAAGATGGGTGGTTGGCGGGTGTTCTGGTGTGGTTTGCTCATTCTTTCTTATTAAACATCTATCGTCTTCATCTCCCCTCCTTCTTTTTTATGTTTGTTACTCTCTTGTAACACCTCAAATCTTCGGCACTTATGACCTTATTGTTTTGCAAGTGCCGTAAAACTCTTACTAAAACTAATACACATGTGGAAAGAATTCAGCGGGATAATGGGCCCATTCATTGACCTGCTGTTTGCAGGGCGACCACAGACTGCGTGTCCATCAAACCAGAAATCGACCGACTGCTTGTCATCCGTCTCACGGGAAGTCGGTAGTTGAAATGGAGCACCAGTTTTTTTTTACCTTAGACATCAGTCAAAGTTTCGTTTGGTAGTGTCTTCCAAAACGAACAAACACCTCACAACAAAAGCTGGGTCAACGGGAATGCCCCACCCAGCATTTTAGTCAGGCCATGCGGAACTCATATACCATAGTCCCAGCCAGAAGAACTAAAACGGAATGACAACTTTTACGCAATAAATCCTCTCAGGTGCCGTTTTGCCGACACCACGGAGGAGCTACGGAAATTCACCTTGCTGTACCTATCGTCTGGTAGTATCGATATATACGTACTCCAAATTTAGATTCTGAGTAACATCAAGGATCATACATAACAAGTTTGTTCACTCCTTTCTTTGAGCCAATTAAAAAAGTGTCCTCAAAATCCGGTGGCGTTCTCTTAAAAAAAGCGCCCGCTTTCCGAACAGAGTTATCCTACTTGTGTGAAAAACAATAAAAGTGAAACTAACAAGTTTTGCTATTGCTATTCTTCTTCTGGAGAAACGAAAGAGAGCTTCAGAACAAAGACTGCAGTGCCATCTGAACCAATGCGCGGACTTCCGCGGACACTTTTTTGACTGAGTGAACTGTCTTGTTATAAACGATCTTTGGCAACATCAAAGAGTCTACATAGCAAGAATGTCCACTCTTCTCTTTGAGCCAGTTAATAAAGTGTCCTTAAAATTTGGTGGCGCCCTCTTCGCAAATGCGCACCCTTTGCGAACAGAGTTACCCTACTTGTGTGAAAAAAATCATAGTGAAACTAACAAGTTTTTGAATAAATAAGAATTCAAATTTCGGAAGAACGCTTTTTTTTAATGGCTACGCTGACAAAAAAACCTCTTCATTTGACTTGAGAAGGAGAGGCGAGAGGTCATTAAAAAAAAATTTAGAACCCTAAAACTCCGCACTGAACGAACCCGAACAGCTGATGAACAACAGTCGATCTGCGCACGCAAGGAGGTGCTATTCCTATTCTTCTTTTGGAGAAACGAAAGAGAGCTTCAAAACAGACTGCCTGAGTGGACCATCTTGTTATGTACTATCTTTGGTAACATACACGGGGAATCGAATTATAGTGTGGTCAAAAATTCATAGCGCAACTTATTGTCAAACTAGCTGGGCCCCCTTTCGATGAAAGGAATGATCGATGCATTAACATCAACTGAAAGTCATTGGCCTACTATATTTACACTCTACTGGAATGGAGCAATAAATCTTGAGAGAAAAGTGACACACGTGTTTCCAAGTTGCCAAATATAATAGATGTATAGATTGATTCTCTATTCCGCTTTCGCGGTTGTACACTCCAGAATTTCAAAGGTGTGGAACCAGTGTGCACGGATAGTGAACGAAACCTCGCTTGTTTAGAAAGTTTCAAAGGTGTGGGTTAGGTAATAAGGGAGGAGTTTGTGCACAAAGCCTCCCAAGTCCACGATATATATATATTATATATACAGTTATATATATATATATACCGTTATATATATAGTTATATATACAGTTATATATATAATACAGATATTTGTTAAACAATCGAACATGGACTCTCCAGCTTCTGCACAATGACTTGTAACAATTTGTCTTAACAGATGAATATTTTTGTAAACACCTATTGACCGTATTCTAGAAAATACCTTGATACATACTACATCTAGACATCGAATAAAAAATTCAAGTTGGTGGTTTCTACAGGTTTTAAAAGGTTTACAGCTGAGGCAACATCACTTTTACAAGTAAATGGGCCATTTTTTACTAATTGCGACATTATGCTTATTGAACGCATGTTTTGAGATCCTTTTGTGCAAAAAAATGTGTTCACTATAAAATTGATTTCTTGAAATAAGTTTTGCCACTAAAAAGTGTTATTGGTGAGCTGTGACGTAGGCCATATGCAAAATGTGGGTGAGAAGCGGGAAGAGCTGTGAACAATCCTATTTTCCGAGAGACGGAGATTCATAGTATTTTAAGAAAAGTGTTTTAGTCTAGCCTCAATAGTTGGTGAAAAATATGATCCAGTTTTAAGACAAATTGATACAAACTGCTGTGCAAGTATGGGTGACTTTGGTTCTCCCGTTCAAGAGATATTTGAGGATAAGTTGCGATAAGATGAGTTTTCAACCGCACTATGATTATGTCATATATTTGAAAGCATTTTAATAAAAGTTTAGAAACTGACTTGCTTGCTATGTAACTTTGTTTTACCCAGTTTTTGTGAGCCCCCCCCCCCCCCTAAAAATAAAAAAGGCAAAAACAAACAAACAAACAAAAACAACCCACTGCTAAAACTGTTTCACTCAAAACGCTACTTATTATCATGTTGACTTCTACCTTTACTATGAAGTTATCTTACATTAGCCGAAAGCACTACACGCGCCCGATGAGTGGTAGGCCCTATACTTATCGCGTTTATTATGCGTTTGTGCTTTATGCTGTCAATGATTACAAGTTTCATGCCTACTGTGGAGCTAAAACTATCTTCTGTTCCATACTTAGCTTGAGTCTTAATTCTTCGATATTTCAAAGCAAATGTGATTATTCCGAAGCAGATTTTGCTAACTACTCCGCGGTCTTCTTTGATCTTGCATTAACAGGCGGATAGTCCCGAGCTATTCCATGGCGCAGCACAGACAAAAAAAATTCTAATTTTCAATTCAAATAAAAATGTTAATGTTACATTCGTAATCAGTGCCTCAAAATTAGCCAAGTCTGTGCGCCAAACACCTGGTTCAAATTAACAACTCCACTATTTCTTAAAAAGGACCATTCTTTGCTTATTCCTGTCTTGCGTCCTTTAATGTATGGCTCTTTTCGTCTATGCAGACGGTCAATTTAGCTTAAGATGGTCTCAAGGTTGTCTTCATGCAGCTTCTTTCATGGCTAATTCTTCCTATGTTTGAAGCACAGATTCTGTCGCAGTGCTTGCATGTCAGTGTCGTAGATCGAAGCTCTGTATTTCCGCTGTTTTCCTTTCGTCGTTGGCGCTTCTCAGCCGGGTTGTTTCTAAGGCTGTTCTCTAGCATTTTAATTCTTTCCTTTATAATTTTCCTCCATGTTTTCCGACCCTCAGCTATTTCTTCCCAGATGTTAAAATCTACTCCAAGTCCAAGCTTAGATAAGCTGTTTTTGCAGGTGTCTTTGTGCCTCAATATTGGTCTTCCTCTTTGTCTCTTTCCCCGGGCAAGTTCTCCATAGAGGAGTTGCTTCGGAATCCGGTTGTCATCCATTCTCTTGACATGGCTAAGCCATCTCAATCTTTTTAAACACAGGACAGTTGTCATGCTCTGGAGGTTTGCCTGTGCCAACACTTCAACATTTGTAACCTTGTCACGCCATGAAATGCCTCAGATCTTGCG